GCTCCGGACAGCTGCCAAGCAGTAGCCACAGTGGCCTGCGGAGGAATTCTGAGCTCACAAGAGAGCATTTTTCATCTAGTTTCTTATGGGGTTGGGGTTGGGGAGGGGTTGGCGACAGACCAGAAACGGGTAACAGAATGATGCCTTCATACAAGCCCAGAGCCACTGATTCAGATGGTGGTGGGAACGGAGGCCGGCTTTTATACAACCGGAATGTGCCTGGTTACCCACTCCAGCTAAAAATAGCGATGGCTCAGAAATTTTACATTTTCTGTGATATTCTAATCTTTTTAAAGAAAGCATATGCATGCACTCGTTATAAAATTATGTTCTCTTTAAAACTCAAAAGAAAAGGGCCCTGGTTGCTGATCTGAGCACCGTTGGGTGCTGGCTTGGGGTTGCGTGGGGGAGATGCTGACGTCTGCTCTAATTATCCCAGATGCACATCCTTCACCTCCGTTCAGGCCGGCCAGTGTGTGACGGCCACTCTGCACAGCACAGCACAGCACAGCGCCTCGCTGCCTGCTGGGCACACAGCATGCGCGACCCTGTGGCTGACGGTGATGACTCCCAAATCACCTGCACCCGTGGTTGCCTGGGAGTGAGTTGGGGCGACAGACAGACAAGCAACTAACCATAACCAGAGACAGAGGAGGTAGGTCCTACGTCAATGATAACATTGGAGTTGACCCTGAAGAACCCGTGAAATTTATGTAAGGAAGGGTGGTGCCGGGTGGGGCAGTCTTCAAAGAGGAAACATCTTGAAAGAAAGTTAAGATGTAGAGGAAAAAACTCATGGTCATTTCCAAGTCCACGCCTATAGTCCCCGTCACCGATTCCTGTCCTCCAGGATGTCTCACCTTGGCACCCCTCTTTACATCTCGACCCACCCCCTCCCTTCTGGGGGAATCTCAGCCGGAAACAACGTGTGGGAAAGCTCCGTGTTTTTCATTATTGCTGATATTCACAAGACCACCTAGAGGTCGGCAGGAGTGGGAAGTAAAGGTCAAGGGGTTAAGGAATGTGTCCCAGTGATGAGGCAGGGAGTCAGGATGGTAACCCAATCGTCCCCCATCCCTCCACCAGCTGTCAAATACAGTGGATGGTGTCTTGCTGACGTACATAGACCCCTGAGTCAGGACACCCTGGTGCAAATCCCAGCTCTGGCATTCACTGTGTGACCTTGAGCAAAGTATTAACCTCTCTGTGCCTTCTTTTCCAGAGGAGCGAAAGGCACTAATATTTCTTACACCAGGGCTGTTGGGCAGATCGAAAAAGATGATGCCTGTAAAATGCTTAGTGCAATGCCTGGGACATAGAAAGTGTCATTATTATTACCGCACACTGCCTTTCACTCAGCGCCCGAGTGAATTTTAGAGTCTGATAGGAGGCTGTATGTCTAGGCCTTTTCCTTAATCCCATTATCTTCCTCAGAAACGCTACTCCTGTCACCAGCATTCTGTCGGCCTGCTTGTACCTTCGCGCAACACGTGGTTTGGAATCCTCGGTTAGTTAGCACAGCTGTGTCTGGGGTCTGGGAGAGCTTCGAG